CTCACCATATTGGTACATCAGTTATAACATCAACTAATGCTTCGAACAAATCTTCTAGTCTATAGGATGAATTTGATTGTGTTGACACTGGTACCTGTGGTGCTTCTATGTGTTTTATCATTTCTTCTTCCCCAACTGTTTCAATTAAATATTTTAATATACATCTCACTGCAAACAATGCATTATATGTGTGCCATGCTGATGTCATTCTGTAAATTATAATTAAACATAAATAAAATATGAATTAGTCTTTGAATTTTCCAATGATAATTATAAGATACGATAAAGAAAATACCATACTTTTTATTTTGCATTGGTTCAAGTAAATGACTTGCATACATAAGAGCAACTTGTATTAAACTACCAAAATTGCCAGTGGTTAAATTATTAGCAAGTAATTGTTGACATGAAGAGTCCAATCGAGAATCTAATTCTATTTGGTCATTTCTTGTAACAGGTGGTCGTACATTGTAAGATAGAAAAGTATCCCAAAATGGATCATTTGGAAGAATACTTTTTTTCCCACAAAACCTCTCCAAATAAATATTTTTAGATAAGTCATCATATCTACTTGGTGTTGTACCCATTGCCTTGCCTTAAACTTCTAGAAATAAAGTGTACACTGAACAGTTTTTATAATAGATGTAATATATTAATGAAATTTATTCATTAAGAGAGTATTTCTGATACTTATTTAAAAATATCTGACAATTTATTGACTAACGCATATTCATTTCTGATAACTGCATATTGTTGTTTAAATTTTTTGGTTTAAATGTTACATAGTTTTATTAAATTATAGAAATAGGACCAGTATCGTATCAATAAAGGGAAAAGACTATAAAATACTTTAATTATATAAAAACATCGTAAAACAACATACTTTGACAATCCACTGTCATAGAACTTTAATAGTTCGATAATAGTTTCTAACAATAGAGTTCTGTTTTATACACTATCGCCTTATGTTTCTACGTGTTTTCCGTGTCAAAATTATCATTAAATTTTTTTGACAATACACTCGTACATATCATTAATACAATGTGAAGTACTAAGAAACATAACCTATTCACATGTCAACCGAGCACTTTAGAAATATATAGATAAATCAAAATGAGCGCCATCTTCTTAATTCATTAAATATACAAATTCGATTATTGAAAATAACAATAGTTGATAATTGCACTTGAGACTGTGGTATGCAAGTGCAATAAAACAATGGGAAAGATGAAGTATGTCTGTTTGCACGTAACGCATGGAAACAGGTTCCACATCATTAAGATGACGTATTTAAGCACGCGAATGATATGTCACTGAATTCACTATTTGATACTTGTGCTTAACAACAATTACATTAATATATATTTGCAAAGAATTTTTAACATATATGAAAATGTAATATCATTCGTTACTTCTTCATTTGTGTAATATCGTATACCTCAATAAATGAAATTAGTCGTAAATCGAAGATATCCTTTAAAAAAATAGACGAATATTTAAAACGTGTTCAATTTAATAAAAAGTCAGAATTTATATAATTTCAATAAAGTGTAAATAGTTCCTGAACTATATATGAATATCTCTATATATTACGTCATATCTAATCTACATATACGTCGAAATATTTACATGCGTCATAAAATTTTGTTCATGTTACAGATTACGATTCTCACTAGTAAACCTACGAAAATGAATCATTATCATAAATTATTGCAAACCGAAGAACTATACTCTCAATCTGTAGAAATGATAAAAGCCTCTATTATAGGTATCCAAGAACAGATTCATCCGATTAAGAAATTCCTTGGTGATCGAAAGAAAGAAATTGTTAAGCAGATCAGGTTAGTTGATAAAATTAAAAAATTTCAAAGATAATAAAATAATAAATGATGAATAGAAGGGATAGATATTTAAGATAACAACGTATATCAGAAACGAAGTTTTTAATATGAACAAATAAATTGCAATACTAAACCAACGAGGTTAAGTACAAATATTTAAGTGACACGGTAAATATTTCATTATAATTTTAACAAAAAAGAAATTCGTAAATGAAAGTGATAAAAATCATTTAGATGTATATTTTCAATGTTGTTTCACATATCTTTATCTATCGAGTGACACTTTCGAATGGCAAAAGTAAGCACGTTATGTATACTGTTAAAATATATCGAAACATAAATTCAAGATAAGCAAACTCGTATTCAGACACTTGGATTGTATGTTGCATACGAGTTCAACTCTTATTTTAATCTCTTACCATAAATATTGTACGTCTACCCAATTATTAGCAACACCTGCTTTATTTCTTTCGCGAATAGTGTAAAGAGAAGGCCGTATGAACCCGATACATTAGAATACACACGATCGTTCTACGAGTACACGTTAAAGGAACTCATAAATATCGAACGAGCATGTGAGGAATGTCTCGTGCGGTTCAACGTCGATTTATTGACGGCAACAAACGGACGCATGCAACCACCGTCTTATTTATCTCCGGAAGAGATGAGAAGAGCTTACGAAATGTGTTGCGATGCGTTCGATGAAACGAGGGACGAGCCATCCTGTCGTTGCACTTGGGAGAACGTGCCTCAGCGAAGTCTCGACGACACTCGCGATATCATAGCGAAACCGAGAGAAATAATGCGTACCGAGTTCGACGAGTCTGATTTGAAGTTTAAGCAAGAGATCGTTTACCTTCGAACGAAAATGTTCTCTTTACCAAGAAAGCGAATCGACTTGTAGGTAACCTTTGTTTGCTTTACGATAAGCAGAACAAATATGTACAAAGTGAAAAGTGTCTGACATTGAGAGTAGAATTTTTTTGTCAACGACATTTTGAGTTACATGTTAAGGTGAACTACGATGGTCAAAAGCAAGTCTAGAAATATTAAGGGAGTTCACACCATATTGTGGCGCCAAAAAATAGGTAAAGTTTAGAAATTTTTTTTTAGGTAACTACTAAATAGAAAATTTCAATTTGTTTTTTTAGGATATTAGTAGAACCTTTAGTTTTATTCTCCGATTTTAAAAAAGGAAAAATGTTACAAAATGGAGGAATTATTGAGAAACCTCTTCTGCTCGAATTTCTGAACGTCGAATTCGAACGTCGGAAATAAACAATTTTTTTTATTTATAAATAAAACTGTGTTATCGACAATGTGACGTAGAATTTTTCAAAAATGGTAACTATTATAGAAATGGCGGCAGTTTGAAAATGAAAAATTCTTTTTACAAAAAAAAAAAGAATCAACTTTAAAGATTTCTTAAAAATTAAATAATTGAGATATTGGAGAAACATTTTTACTCTTAAAAAATTGAAGAAAGAAGCTGAAAGTTATAAAAATTCTCAAACTTTACCTATTTTCAGGAAAATCAAGCATCTCGCGATTTATTTAAATTCGAAAAAAAGCACAAACAGTTTTACAGTTCACTATATAGAAATATATATTGTCCTTTAGAAAAAGTGGTAACGAAATCATTTCTGGTCCTGGTAGACATCGATCAAGCATTAGGCTAACGTTGAAAACCGCCGAATTCATTCAAAGTCTGAAGGAACAAGAAATTACCACGGTTTTTTCCGTGCAACACGAACTTTCTAAGATAAACATTCTAAAATTCGTCGATGGAACGTTCACAATTTGCGATATTTGGCTGAAAATTTTAGAATTTCACGGAAATCAGTACGGCTCGAAGTGGCGTTTAATGCTTTGTCCTCAAATAGAAAAAATCGCGAAGAAACGCTTGATACCGACCTTACACCTGGATCCACGTGCAACTTTCGATTTTATTTCACAGATCAATCAGTTCACGAATTTTTTCTTAACAAGAAAAGATTTAATTTCTCTGTTGAAAGATGACAACGAACGTGCTTGGTTGAACAGTTGGAAGCTGCAGATACACATGATCGGTGGGAGAGAGGTTGCAGCTACTTTGATACAAGCCTTTTGGCGTGGTTATTGGGTAAAAATGTATTTTTTGTGTTACCGATAAAAATAGTAGTTGCATATTTTTAAATGTATTATTTTTATAAATTTCATATAGTATAAGTGCACCTAATTTCATCTACTTAAATCTAAATTGTTCTCAATTGAAGGGTAATTGATAGTTTTGCATCTAATTTAAAAAATTCTTTATTAAAAAATTAAAAAATACAATTTCAAAATATTTACATTATTACATATTATTTTTGTGAAACAAAATAGCCAAGAATGTGTAGAAGGACACATGTACTATGTTTTGCAACATCACTTGAGCAATGTTTAGAATTTAGTGTAAAAATAATCTTGATAGTACAAACAATGGGAGAAACTAAATTAAAATTAACTCGAATATTATCTTCACTTTAACAAAATTAAACAATTTAACACCACATTGGGAGAAAATAAATTAAAACTTACTTAGATACCATTATGCATTTAGGGTCTAGCCCTAACAAAATTGACCCACATTTACAAATTAAGAATTCAAAATTAAAACCTCCTTACAACAAACACTTATAAAATTTCCAATTTTCACTCCTGTTTCTCTTTAATCCCCCGATTCTCTCACATTTCCCACATCTCCACCCAGCTACGTCGCAGGAAAGCGCAATCCTGCCGACTCTACATAGCCGCAAGTCTCCTATGGTTCGCCTGGATCACTCTGAAAGGCAAACGAAAGATGCACCGGCGTTATCTCGACAAAATGCTAACCTCCATGCAAACCACGCGTGATCTAATCGCAAAACTGTCCAAAGATTTCCGTTCCATCATTCAAGAGCCACACGTGGTGATACACCTTCCATCCATCGGTCATCCAATGGAGATACGTCGAATACTAAATCCAAAGATGTTCGCCATCTACCAGAACATCACCATCCTACGTATCTGCTTCGTACGAAATCCAAAAACCGAAGTGATCTACGTTCTCCCCGTGAAACCTACTCAAGACCTGTTAACGATGTACAGCGACTTCATCGAGTCGATATCTCCCGCCGAAGAAGTCGCCAAACGAATCACTTTCGTCGCTCTTTCTCAATCGGGGACCTTCAAGAATCGTTCGTTGAACGTCTCCAGGATCCTCCACTGTTCCGAGGACTCTCTTCACGCGATCAAGAGGAAGATCTCCGGCAAGCCGGCCTACTTCCTGCCCTGCGTCGTCGACGAGTGCGACATGAGAGTTGCTGGAAATCTCGAGGTCCCTCTGTTGAGCACCGAAATGGAGCTGCAAATGAAGTTTCTCAATCTCTCCACGATGTCCGAGATGATCGACAATCTTGGCCTCCTGCAGCCACCTCACGCCAGGAACTTTTTTTTTGCACGTCTTTGGCTCGATTGATGATCCTTCACACGGAAGTGTGCGTGTGGTTGATCAAATTGAATTACAGCGTGGCGAATAAACATTGCGGAATTTTTCTGATCAATCATATCAGCGTGCCTTTCATGCCCGTGCTGAGGAGGGAACGAGAGAAGTACGGAGATTTGTGGAAAGAGGATTCGAGCCTGCGCGAGGAGTTTTACGAGAGATTGAAGGAGCATCTGCCTAGGGTTGTGTGCAACGTGACGAGATTGTCGAAGATTTACAATTGCTGGAAGGAGTTCTACGCGCATTTGCAGAAATTTGGGTGCCTCTTGCAAGCAGTTCCTGTGGCGAAGAGCTCGAAGACTATCGTCGTTTGCTTGCTCGTCCCTGGGAAAAAGACTAAGGAGCCGCCGAGATGGCTGGGAACCGCGGATAAAATTAATTTGGGTATTGTGTGTTTGCTTATGGGGGTGAAGTTCGGGAATTATTTTGTAGGTAACTAGTCAATGAAAGATTTCAATTTTTCGGGGGGACGTAAGTATAACCTTCGGCCCTTTTGTCTAATTTTTTGGGACAGAAATGTTGCAAAATGGAGGAGTTATTGAGGAACATTCTCAAGAGGTTTGCTCCATGGATTGGAACGCCCGAAATAAAAGAATTCCTTCTAATTTGTAAATAAAAATGTATAATCTACAATGTAGCTTGTGATTTTTCGAAAAATTTCATTATCATGGAAATGGTGGCAGTTTGAATGGGAGAAACCTCTTTTTACCAAAAGGTCAATTTTGAACGTTTGTACAAAATTTAATAATTGAGCTATCGAAAAAATCGTAAGCTAAATTGTAGATAATACATTTTTGTTCGTAAGTCGAAAGGAATTTTTTATTTTAGATATTCCAATTCTTATTGGCAATGGCTGCCAGTAATTGATGTTTTAGTAAAGCTCCTTCATTTTGTATGATATTCAATTAGTGGTAAATGACACGTTTCAATAACAGAATCTAGATTCTCGACCAGCATATACTTGTTACCACAAAGCTCCCTGGAAATTAGCATGATAGAGCCAACGGTGAACAGATTCGCCACGAGTATGCAGGAAAATGGCTACTTCGGTTACCTGAGCGTCGAATGTTACTGTTATGTGCAGAAAACGGAGGAGAAATTGATAGTGCTAATGTTAAACATATACCCATACTATTCGTACACTCAGAGTTACGTTGATTGGATGAAATTCGCGATTGGAGGATTGTATAAGTAATTTTCATTGTTTTTCGATTCATCGAATCGTTTTTATTACAAATTTAGAGGAAATATAGAGAAATGATACTTGATTATGCTGTTTCGCTATGGAATTTTCTGAGTATTTAGAATTTTATTTATTTCGTCAAGTTTAACTTCATTAAGCTTGCAATTTTTAATTGTTATTGTTATTGCATGTTTAAAAAGTCACCAAAAGAATCAGTTTCTCTCGGATATTGCGGCAGTCTCGGAATACGAAAGAAGGAAATCGTCGTTTATATTTATGGAAAAGATACCTGAGTGGAATGAAACTACAGAAAGATACGCTGTCGCCATTTCGCAACTGCATCACACAACATTTTCCGCTTATCGATGGACCAATCTTAAGAATTTATTTGAAAAATGTGGTGTAAGTTTGTCTATTATTATTAGAATGATATATTTCCTTCGTTTCATGCAGTAAAAAAAAAAAAAAATAGAATTCAATATTTTGAAAAATAGCGTTATAAAATATTGAAAAATCGTACAGAAATATTACAGAAAATACAGAAAAATTGGATCTAAAATGAAATTCAATTAATTGCAATTATTATGCTATTTGCAGATTTCGTTCGACAGAAAGAAACGTCAAGGATCGAGTATAATACTACACGATGCCGAGATTCGAAATTTTGGGCTGATGGTCGCTGTTAGTGCTTCTATGACGACCACGTTATCCATGATACATAATAATTTGACAAAACTGCACGAAACTCTGACGATTAAATCGAAGAAAAAGCCAGAAACTAATTTGCCAGCTTTAGCTGAATTCTTCCTGAAGCTTTCTCTGGACTATCAGAATCTAGCTGTGAACAAATGTTCACCAAACTTTTGAATGAATTATTCAGCGATACTGTGTAATTACCATTTGTATTATAAAGATATAATATATAATATTTATACTGGATACTTTGTAATTCTCGAGTTTATTTACCTTTTCTATTATAATATTCTAGAAATTAAGGATTAAATTGAGATAAAAGTGTGATGAAAGGCACGGTGCGAGAAAATATTTCAAACGCCTGAAAAGGCGCGAAAAAATATTCGAAGCGCTTAAAAGTCGCGAAAAAATATTCAAAGCGCCTAAAAAAGGGCGAACAAAG